ATTTTAGATACCGCGAAAAAGCTGTGAACATACAAATGCATACCACTATGCCTATATATATTTTATACCTACTTTCGGCATATTTTGTATGTTAGAGCAATGTGTTATGAAAATTGGGTGTGTTACAGCCGAACAGTGGAGGATAAGTGTTTAATACGGTGATTTATTCAGAATYTAATGAATTCGAATACGATTGTTGTGACCAAGTTTATAACACTAACTTAGTCTCGTAATAATTATAATGATATTCCGCTTGCTCGTGACATCTGTTAGTCATGGCGGGCAAACATTTTAAAATAATATAATAATATGCAAACATGTTGCTCCAGAGAAACATTCTTATTTTATGCTTGAATATTTCAACAGCATAWTGTATGGTATTTTCAACGTTCTAATTTCATTTCAAAACAAAATATTCGGTATTTTATTCCTTAAAAATGAATAACATCATTATTTTCATTTTGTCGCGGCAGATGATGTATAAAGTTTACCCAAAACAGTACTGAGAAAAAATTATTATTATTAATAATATTATGGTTACTATTCATGAATTCATTTATACTTGCAAAATACTTGCAGCATAATAAATTACTTGAATTTTTATACGGTTTATTAATATTTACGATGGCTAATAYTAAGCAGAAATCTTCAAATTTATTCCCAAAGTCAATGACATTAATAACATCAACAACTGATTAAAATTAAAAAATAGCAATGTAATGATAATGGTGATATGCATAGCAACACAAATTATCRTGCAAATTTTTTTTAACTTCAAACATAAAAGATAAATATAAATTATGGGCATTAATGATTAATTTATAGTCAGTAATTATAAAATATAGAGTACCTACACGAATTGTACGTAATAATGGAATGTGTTACATGCTGAACGGATTGAAGAATATGATATTAATTTTATAATATTGTGTGTGTTGAGTGTTTTTGTGTCTGGAGACAATTTTTCTAGTAGAGCAAAATGCTCTGATCATCACTTTTAAATAATAGGATCTAGTTTCTTTTGGTAATTTTGGGAGGTCAAAATTGAAAATTCTAAGCATTTTATACTCTGGAAAAACAAAAAACARAAATGTATTACCATTGTTATACATAATTAAATGAAYTGTTTGGTAACCTTTGTAACACAAAACTTTGATTGCGTTCGCTTAGAATTGATTTTTCCTCATATGTATTAGTTATATACAATAAATCGTCATTGAATTCTAATTAAACACATTAATCACATTGGCGTACATACTGTGGTACTAGAGAGTGCATATCACACCCCCAAGTCTTATATTAATACCCCCCACCCAAAAAAAATAATTTTAAGCTAAGAATATTGTTATATTATTGTTACACGTGTAATTTTGCGTTTATATAAGGATGAATTTATTCCAGTATAATATTGGAAATGCATTAATTTTAATACAACTTTATTTTTCTAATTATAATAAATTGGACATAAAGTTTTTTTTATTGAAARCCAAATTCTTCAATTCAATTTTCTTTTATAATTTTATTTGAAATGTATGTATACCTTGATAAGAGATGAGGAGTCAAAGGGATCACACTGGTCACTTTGAGTGTAAAACATTTTAGCACTTCCAAGTTTCAGACTGAATTTCATCCACCTACGATTCATTACTGCCAGTACTCAATGTCAAGATACACACGACTACTAACGATTAAATTTACATATCCTGACTAACCTAACGAGGGGTAAAATAGTATATGTGTAATGTGTATATTTATTTGTACATCATATTATACCCGTTAGACTATTTATTCTCTGTAGATTAAAAAAATAATTAAACAATTTTTATATTTTATTATTGTATGAAAATCTACTGACAGTGCCATATCCAGGGGGGGGACTTTTTGACTTAAGCCCCACTCCCCCCAAAATTTTAGGTGAGATATTTTTTTAGTAATATGTAGGAGGTTCATATCATAGTCATAATGTTGATAGGTGAGCTTAGATTTAAAATTGTGACAATTTACATTAATATAATATATTAAATAGTAAGTCTATGTATATATATGTTTTTAAATTATTTTCTATTTTCCTTTAGAGTTTAGTATGAATGTTTCAGCCCTGTCCTTACCTTCAGTCTACTGGGTTTATTAATTATAACTTTTTATGGAAAATAAACAATAACAGTGCTAAAGGTAATACTTTTCTTCACTTAAACACAATATTAACACATAATCACTTTATAATTTAGAACTTTAGTAGTACATATTAATATCTTGATGTAGTATAATATGTCTGATAACATGATCTTTAATTAATTTAAAATAGGTACTACATGTACAATTTATTTATTTGTAAACTAATTTAAAGTTAATTTAACAACCGTAGGTATATTTAAAATATATTAGTGGCTTTGATATGTTATGATAAACTACAGCTTCAACTTTACTGACAATTTGATTTTTACATTTTTTACATTCGTATATTACTTACTTTTTTTTAGATTATTATTGACTTCTTAATTTGTGAAAATAACTTTATTATTAGAAACCACGAAAAAAAAATCAAGAAAATTTAGGACTTAATATCAAATTGTTTAAAGAAACTAAAGTATTCAAAAATAAAATAAAATATAGCAAGCAACTATATTCGTACCTACCTCGCAAAGATAAGATTAATCAATGACTGCTAATATAACTTAATTTAATATATTAAAAAGTTCTACATTATTTATGTGTATTTTAATATAAATATTATATTTATTTATATTTGAATACCTAGGTTGTTTTAGAAATTKTTATAGTTACCTTAATATGCTATTGAATTATTTTAATTCTCAGATAGTGTAGAGTTGAATCATGATCGGTTACCTTTATTATTTTATATGAAAAGTCTTTAGCGATGATAAAATTAAGATACCTCGAGTATACCTCTTCGGTTGGATAGGTACTTGATACAGGTAATTAAAYCTTTAGATTTCTGAAACTTAATTGACTCGTTCAACATAGTATTATGTTTAACCAAAAATGGTTAAAAGATAATAATAATAATATAAGCATTACACAATGATGAAGGAAATKATAGGATAGCTAAAATGTGTTGCGTTAACGAATTCAGTGTCTATTATAAATGTTTACTATCGTCTTCAAACATTAATTGGCCATTGATCTAAATAATTAAATGTTTGTTCAGAAAACTAAAAATAATTATTAAATACGATTTTTATTTAAAAAAAATAACGATAGCTTTATTACGATAAGAGAAAAACTTAACATATTATACGTTATACTATAAATAATTAATAGGAATGTTTTAACGTAAAGTTTGCATTATATACCTATGTACCATACTTACGTAGAAATTAAAATAATAATTAACAAATGGTGATTATAATATCACCAACAACAGCTGTTTACCTTATTCTACCATTTCTACATCACTGAGACTTACTCAATATGCATACATTATCAAAAAAAGTACATCCATTCTGTTAAAAAAAATCACACCATCCGATTAGAAAATTCTCATTTATCAAAAAACAAAACATCTAATGAATAACACTTAACATGGTACATAATCCCTCTAAATACAGGTATGATGTTCTCCATTAAATAATCGAGAAAAAAATTTAAAAGATAACATAATATGAACCAAAATGCATTAACTTTTACAGCAGATGGTGTTTATTTTAGTTATGTAAAATTCGTTTTCGTCTAATTGTAGAGTCAAATAATGCGTTAAAGATGGTGTCCTGCTCCTCATTCTGTAGGTTACATTTGACTGTTCTCGTCAATTCTTGATAGCTACGCAAAACAGTAGTTTTAAAATCAAAATAATAAACCCATAGTTTTTGTAAGATTTGATTTTTTTTTTTTAATAATCACATTTCAATACTACAGTTGACTAATATTTGTAACAAAGTATTTTTTTTTTTTTTTACAGAAAAAATGATTATTATTCATAAATTTTTATAATATCTAAAGGACAACAAACCGTTTAATTTTAACATGGTAACATTTTATCAAAGGAATCCGATATGTTTTCAAAATTAACACAAAATGTGGTAAATATGATTTAAATTATACCAGTAAAAATTCAATGCCGAATGATTTATGGTGAATTTGATTCAAATAGTTATATAAATGCACAAAAAATCATCAATGTTTGTTCTTTAAAATGTAAACATAGGTACAACTGAATTATAATAAAAAATAATATGTAGCTTTAATGATTTGTAAGCTGATTTATATTTTATTTTTACAATGAGAAAGTAAATTATTTACGGCTTAAATTTTAATAATAGGTATGATGACGTGTGTAATTTGTGTAGAAAGGTAGCTCAAATAAGAGAAAAAAACATTTACTGGCGTTCATTTTAAACCTAGTACAACCACTTCAATTATTCAAGAAATATAGAAACCAAATAGTTTTTGTTATTTGTAATTGAATCAGATGTAAAATTGTAAAAAGAAAATACATTTAATTTCATAACAATTATTCATAAGTTTTCAAAAAATAAGTACACCTACATCTAAAATATTTAATCATGGATAAATAAGTCACTTAAACCTATCCTAATACTAACCTAACCTATAAGACTTATTGAACTGTAAAAAAATTAAATTATATTATAAGGTATAGAAAATAATAAAAATATACCAGGTCAAAAATCCATGTACAACATTTAAATCTCATAAATGGTATTTTGAAAAAAAAAAAGTATAGTTATGGATTTGTAATTTAATATTCTGAAAATTTTCATTAAATGGTTTCCGGTGAACTCAATTTTAAAACATAAATAAAGTGATCTTTAAAAACTTTTTCACGCCAATTATTAATCTGTAAAATATTGAATTTATTAAACTCTATTTTTAAATGAATTTTAATGGCCTCAGTATAGCAGATTTAAATATTAAACTAATAAACGTATTGTGCGATTTAAATGTATTTAACATGTATTTTTAAATTTACTTTTATGTAAAACATAAATAATATTGATAAATATTTGAAAATTGTTTTCCTCATACCTACTTCATACATATATTATTATATAGTATATTCGGTACAATTTCTTTGACTTAGATGATTGTATAGTTATTATATCTTTTATCTATTGACTTAAAAAATTATTTTTCGAAGAAACAGCTTTTTTAGTCACCCTGTATGAAGTAAAATGATTAAATTGGTTGTTGGTCGATTGTTTTCAGGTAAATTATTGTTAATACATTGTATAAGAATTCACAAATAAGATTCAGAGAATTCCATATCTGAAGCACTAGCTCTAGAATAAGAAGTGGCTGTACCAGCAATGAATGCTGAGTCCGATGTACCTTCGCCAGTTATGAAATCAGCTACAATTAAAGTATCTTTATTTACCGACTGCGATAAGAACGAGTGTTCAGTTAACTGCGACTCATCGTTCCATTTTAGTTCAGTCTTATCGGTATCGCCTCTTAGACTGAATAGGTCAGACTTTAATTGTTTTAAACGCTCCTCTTTCTGAAAAAGTAAAAGTAAAAATAAAAATAATAACTTAAAGTGATGATAACAGAGGCTTAATGGTTTACTAATTTAATTAGGTTGAATTTTTATATTTAATACTAATTTTAAAAAGCAATAATAAACAATGCATTGTATTCAAAAATGAAAAAAATAAGTTTAATTAAAAGTTTAATAAAATAAACTTTTAAAATTTTATTACAGAATTAACTTTTTATGCTTGTAAAAAAAAAAAAATTAGCGACACTTCAACTAGTAATTGTATTGAATTTCTAAACTACATCGTGTATATAGGTAGTATTATATTATTGTATGCAATATTTGGGTTTTTTTTTTTTGCTTAACTTTTTTCCCAAAAAAATAAAATACACGATTGAAAACCCAATAGCTTTTTCTTTATTAGTTTATTACCATTAAGTATTCAATATATTTATATTTAAATTAAACGAGCATTTTTTTTAAATCTAGTTTTTACTTGAAAATATGTTTCCCAGTCGTAAAATATTTTTATTATTACCTGTGCATTAGATATTATGCTCTATATTTTATAATTAATTTGACTAAAAATATTCAGCTAATTAATCCTTGGATTATGTAGTTATAAAATCAATTATATCAATGTTGAATATAGTATGTATCTAAAAAACGTGTATAACATGTAACCCAAAATATTTTCTTAAACTATAATCGTTCATCAATTTTCAATTATATTTAAAAAAAATGCCAATATAATAAATTAAGCACTGTCTTAGTTTTAAAATGTGTGAACATTGTTTGCAAACATTACTGAATTAAAACGTTATATAATGTTTATTATCATTATCAATATACCTCTTTTATTTTAGCAGCAAGTTGTTTATTTTCATCTATAAGTCTCTTATATTTATCTTCGTCTTCTTTTGACATTCCAGCATCGGGATTGTATTTAGATTCCGGTTTGTCATGGGGATCCCGAATCACTTCGATTACCTAAAATGCACGTATTTTATTCATCCACCATAATTCAATGTCCATTGTTTCTTACTTTTGGTACGAATATCAGGGCCATGGAAAGGAAGCAACAGAAAATAACAGATAACGCCACAAAAGCGAAACTAGCGTCTTGCTGTGATGCCGTCACCATAATTACAGGTGTAGTTATTAAGCATGTAACAACCACGTTGTAAATTGACATTCCTACGTACCGCGAATCGTTTATCTGTCTCAGTTTGACACTTCTAGTTTCATACGAGACAAAAAGTCCGAAGAGTAAAAGTAACCCTTTGTAACTTAATGTTAAACCTAAAAAAAACCGTGAAATAAGACTATTGGTGTTTACTGTTTTTAGTTCGTGTATAGAACATTAGGCGCTTATAAAAAATAACTTATGATCGTTGATCATTGATCATGATTGGCGACAAAGGTACGTATCAAATTCTCAAACAGTTTTGTTGTATATATTGTAAACATTTAAAAAAATAATCATACAATAATTCCAAAATATTAAATACAATGTAGACATAAAACTTACTTAGCCAAAAATTGTGATTTTCACTCTTGCAATGCTCAAGTTCTGGTCTTATTTTTATGTCATCGTTGCTATTTAAAGGGTTTTCCATAGGAAATACTTGTATGTCACGCTTCAACGGATCCATACATTGCCATAAGAAAAGAATCGCAACATCGACAGCCAGTAAAAATATCACAATTGAATACATTTTCCACGGTTGCAATGCTTTCTAGAATCGTAAATTATTGTAAAATGAGTATATATAAAACCGTAAGCTGACTGACTGATCTATCAATGCACAGCTCAAATTATTGGACGGATCGAGCTAAAATTTGACATAAAGATACCTATTATATGATGTAGGCATTCGATAAGAAAGTGTTTTTGAAAATGTATATAGTAAAATATTCAAAATAATAAAAAATACAGTTAATTTCGTGTAATTTAAATGATCATATATAATTATCGTAAATAATAATATCTATATAAGTAAAATATATATACAATATGGTAAAAAAAAAAATAGTGGTTTAAAGCCAGTTTTATACAAGAGAATCTATTCGTCATATTCGATMATATATTTCATATATTCTACTTTAACTTATTTTGTTACGAGTGCAAATTTGTAATTTGCAAATATTCAGCTTCCAACGTAATCAATATGTAAAAAAGTTCAGCGGATTGAAGATTTTGTATAACTTTATGACTAGACCGAGAAATAAATAAATTCCTAATTGTTGAACGGAAGCAAGTCAATTTTAAACAATTTTAATTTTAAGATAATTTTGTACTTATCACATGTAAATCCATMATTTTTCCGAAAAAAAAAAAAAAGATAAATCCTACTGTCTGAAAAATTAAAAAGCGCTCGGAATTAATACAGAATAGAGACATGGTACACAGCATTTTTCTCTCGTCTCTAAAATAAAAAAAAACGTTACTAAAAAAAATTATAGAAATAGACTTTTTTCCTTACTGCAGTTAGCAGTTAAATTATTCTTCAGTGATATAATAATACTACCTATAATATAGTATATATTAACAAYATAATATTGTTATAAGTGTGCAACCGTCGTGTGCATATGTGTATGACATTATAACGATTAATCAGGCGGGTAAAGAGTGCAGCAGATGCAATTACATTGCGTTTGTGCGCTTTTCCATAAAAAGTTAACTTAACGGTTAGAATAGTATATTGGCTATAATATAAATTATGATGCACTAGATTGAACCATGCAATAAAAGTTTCGAATAATATTCTGCGAGTCGTGGGTATAAAATGCGCTTAACATTATTATACCTACACATACGAATTAATAATATGTACGATGAACTTTTAAATAAATCGTTCATATTCGTAATTMGGTTTTAAAATGAAATAAATTATTAATAAAATTATTTATGTTTTTGATAGTTTAAATTTATATTTTATTTAAATGCGTGTTGTGTTTGTTTTTTTAACAAATCGGTTATTATTTTCATCTAATATAAAAATATACAATTAAAAAAAAGATTTAAACAAATTATTCTGTAAAGTCATTTCTCATTACTACTTGTTGCTACAGTTGGCAATATATTAATATAGTTCTTTATATTATTAAATTATTACCGGATTGCGAACCTTGCCGTCCTAATTTTACTTAAATTGAGTAACAATAATTCGTATAAATCAAATTCATTTTTTTTATTTTTTTTAAACATTGATTCTTTTCTATTTTCATTTGATCAACACTCAAAAGTGTAACAGCCCGGTAAGTAGGTCACAGAATTCAATAACACCCATAGTATTATATAATATCATTGAGATAATCTATACATAATAATTTCGGAATATACATGGATATAAGTACTGATTTCATTATAATTATTGTTTTATTAAAAATATAGACGCGTCAATAATATGACATAAAAACAGAGAAACGTCGTAAAACACTCAAACAAATAAATCATTGATAATATACATATATAGTGAGTAGTAAGTTTGTCGTATCCCGCTGGGATTCACATGACGGAAATTAGTGAAATGAACTTGTAATTAATAAGAATAAAAAAAACTACAAAAACGTTATATTAATATTACCCTGATTGCGTTTTTCTTTTGACTCGTATGCAGTCTGTGCACTCTCCACACCTTACTATACATAGCTCCATAACCCAAAGTAAATCCGATTGACAACACCCAAGTTTTTATTTGGCATATGTTTGGAAAAACCGCCGGTGATATAATCTGACCATCCAAGCCAAATAAATAAATACTGCTCAAGCTCAATACACAKCCGGACAACATAATTGTATTGCAAGCTGGATACGATTGAGCAATAACTCTGAGAAGATGTTATCAACAAATAATAAATAATATTAATCGATATTCAATTGAAAGTTTTATATAATTATATACACGCCACACGGTGATTCACCAATTATGGTATCATGCTCATCTACATTTTTTCCTTTAATAATAAATTAATTCAAATTCTTAATTTTGGGATTTTCAAATATACTCGAAGACCATATTTTCAAATTCTTGAAATTTTTTGTATTACTTAAAGATCATCCTGTGCCGTTACAAACTTCTGTTTTACAAATAAGAACCTCCCCTTTTTTTACTGTTGATTATTTAGTAAATAATTTTTTTGAAAATTTTGAGATACCTAATTAAAAATTCGAATACGTAGTTTCTTAGTTATTAAATTGTTTGTACTAAGGATAATAGTTCTTAAAAATCATTTAACAGAAGTATAAAATTCACGTATACTATTGGAATTGGTATTTATGATACTTAGGTCGTTTTTACAAAATAATTTATGCTGATAGATTAATCATCATGATAGATGAAATGATGACTAATATTTTTAAATCCACTATAGACCACATATCTTATAAACGTAAACTATGGAATTTTTATCCTTAGAACACAAARCTAAATAACTCAAAAACTACTAATTGTAATTTTATTTAAATACGTCAAAATTCTCAAAATATATTATTAGGAGGGTTCTCTTTGAAAAACAAAAGTATGTATCACTACAAGACACTTATTAAGTGATACGAAAACTCTCAAGTATATTTAAAAATTCCAAAAATCGGATTTCAAAATAACTGCATTATTAGAGAAAAAAGGAGGTGAGAATGCTTGGTGAATCACTTTGTACCTATAAATATAATACTTTATAGACGTCTGGACAATTTTCATTCGGTACATACCTTCTATGATGATTGAGAACATTGAATATAATAAGACTAACTGCTCCAAGTATCCCGATGGTTGTAATTACCCACATACATATCAGWAATGGTATTGATAACGTGCGCAATACACGGCGAATCACAGTTCTGTCTTGTGGAACTTTACCACCTATTTAAAATATATAAAATAGACATATAGTTTTATGTATAAAATGATCAACTAAAATGGATAGTATATATAGATAATAAATATAAAAGTACAAATATAACTACGTAGGTATTAAAAAAAGTGCATTTAAGTGTATGAAAATTAAAAATCAAACTGAAGTACGTATATACAACTTAATGTTTTAGTCATATGTATATTTAAATTGTTTAAATGGACAAACGTGAAAAAAACTAATTTAATTTTCAAAAAATATAGAATACAATTAATATAGAATTAATAAATAATAGGTACAGTTATAATACTGACCTATCCATTTCTCTTTATCGAACCATGTTAAGTTGTCAGACTGTGTGTCATAGTATCCAAGCTTAACGTATTTTCCTTCAATAACTTGTTCAATCTGCGTTAATGCTATACGATCACCTTGCGAACTAAAAGCTACGTAACCCTAAAATTTTATCTTGATTATACATTTTTTATTTTATTGCTATTTATAAACTCACTGATATCCCGAGAAACTGAGTTGAATTAATAGCTGAATAAATATGGTCAGCGATTTCTTTATTATTGTAGTTAAAACTGGTAATTGATTTCCCCTGTTTTTCCAGGATACTCATAGTTTTATTAAAAGCTATTGTTTCATAATAAATAATATATTAGTACCTATTTACACAGGAGTAATGAAAAATAATTTAAATCTGTTAAATACCCAACGCTACAGCCCAGACCGCGTCATATGCTAATGGTGCTTCTTGATATCCTTCGGGATAACGGTGTCGATCAATTGCATAACCTTCTGATCTTAAAACATTTTCAAGCCTTTTACGAAAGTCTTCAGATGTCTAAAATAATAATA